CAGTGTGTGCAGGGAGATGATCTCAGGTACCCCAGTTGGGGTCCTTGACGTGACCACAGGTGACCAGGTGCCACCTAGTCCCTGCCTTGCTGGCCTTAGCGTGGCTTCAATTCCACCAGAAATTACTCCCCTGACCCCCTCAGATGCTGGATGCTGGAGGGGGACGGAGATTCCAGCCGATCCGGAGGCCCCGTCATCCCAGCAGAGTGGTGACCTCCCTGGATCTTCCCGCTCATGCACAGACCCCACCCCGTCCCTGTTCCTTGCCCAGATCCAGTCCTGGAATGTGGGCTTTTGTCTGCGTGTACCCCGTGCACGGCAGGCCCAGCTTCTGTGCCATGTGTGAGCACAAAGGTCAAAGGCCCTTCATCACCAACCCCCCCTCACCCCACCGCCCGCCGCGAGCTCACCCTCTGCCTCCCCCCTCTACTCCTGGGCCCACAGGCCCCTGCACACGAGCACCCAGCTTGGGCAGCTCCCTCCCTGCTGGAAAGTCCTTTTTTCCCCTTTTCCTTTAGAGGCCACATGAGACCCGTGCCGGAACTGTCCCCCAAACCCCAGTGTGGGTGACACTTCCCGGCCTCACACGGCACCCTCTGCCCCTCATGCCGTGGTGTTGTCATTGCCCGCTTGCTAGCTTTTCGGGAGGACAGTGTTGTTATTTATCATGGTTCCTCCTGTGCTTGGCCCAAAGTGGCACATAAATGCTTCTAGAACGAATGAGGATGGAGACCGGCAAGTGAGAGGACAGGAAATGGTCTGCGTCACAGAGTGATGGCACGGCGTGTGCGTCTCGAGGCACACGCGAGTCGTGTCCAGAGGACTGATGGGCTGGGTCAGGGGAGGCCCCACGGAGGAGCCGGGAACCGAACTGGCCTCGAACGGGGGAGGCGGGCGAGTGGTCCCGCGAACGCACGGACAGGTGTGGGTGGCACGCACAGATGAGTGACAGTGACTGTGTCCGCGTCGGGGGCTCCACCAGTCTGATGGAGGTGACCTCAAAACCGTCTCAGCCCAGCAGCAGATGCGTGGGCCGGGTTTCCCTCCGTCACTGAGCTCCTGACAGTAGGGACTTGTGTGGCTTATGTTACCACCGTTCCTGCGTCTCCTGCTCTTCTTTGGGGCTCTGGGCTCACCACCCAAGCCTCCCGACCGCCCCGTGCCTTGCCTTGCCTTGCCTTGCTTAGGGTGCCGTGTACGTCTACTTCGGCCCTACACGAAGAGGGATGTCTTCTCGCCCCAACGTCACCATCACCTGCCAGGTATGTCTGCGCCTTGGCCGAGGGCGGTGAACCAGACCTCGCCGCATCCCGCCGTCGGCCTCTGGGAGTCACGCAGTTTCCTGGTCTCCCCTACAGGACACCTACTGTAACCTGGGCTGGACGCTCTTGGCCGCGGATGTGAATGGCGACGGCGCGCCCGATCTGGTGATGGGCTCCCCCTTTGCACCGGGTGGAGGGAAACAGAAGGGCATGGTAGCTGCATTTCATTCGGGCCCCAACGGGAGCGGCAAAGGTAACGCCTGTTGGGAGGGTGGGGGGTGGGGGCGGAGGCCTCCCGGCTCTAGTCTGTGCTGGTGCACGTGGCCTCGTGTCCTTTCTTCCTCACTCCGTGATCATTTCGCTGAAATCTACCACGTTTAGTCTGGTGGGTGTTCCCGCAGGTGCTGTGGATAGAGTCACAGGATGTACAGAAAGGGATCCAGCTTCTAGGTCCAGATCCAAGGGGGCCGGTGGGTTGTTGGCAGAGTCTCTCTGCGGAAGCGTGGGAAGCCCGAAGGCATCCCCGGGATGCCCGCCCCGCCGCCCCCCCCACCCCATCCGTATTGCATCCTGTGGGCCACAGAAGTGAGCTCTGGATATTTCCTTCTCGTGGGAAGCGGGGGATCCATTTCTGATGGTGGGGGCCCTGCAAACAGCTTGGAGGGTATCTGAGAGCTCCGGCAAAAACTCGGCGCCCCCCCTCCTGTGTGGGGTAAACGGCGCTGGTGGTCTCGCGTAGAAAAGCTGGACGTGGAGGCGGCCGACTGGATGGCGAGGGGCGAGGAGGACTTCTCCTGGCTAGGCTACTCCCTGCACGGGCTCAGCGTGGACAACAGGACGTTGCTGTTGGTCGGGAGCCCGACCTGGAAGAACAGCAACAGGCAAGCGCCCAGGGTGGGGCCGGGGACCGGTGGGCACCCGAGGCCGCCGTGGGAGCCCGCGGAAGGGTGGGGCTCAGACACAGGGGCCGAGGCCTTACGCTGCGAGGAAGAGCGAAGAAGGCTCTGGGGCGAGGTTGCAAATCCTCCTCCTTAGAAGTTTAAGAACGAGGTAGAGAGGCGCATCCGTTTGCCGGGCTGCCGTGACAGCGTGCCCCAGACTGGGTAGCGTAAGGCACAGGAAGTCATTTTCTCACCGTTCCGGAGACCGGAAACCCAAGGTCAAGGTATTGGCAGGGTTGAGGGCTCTCCTTGGCTTGCAGAGGGCCGCCTCTCCATCCTCATACGGCCTCTTTTCCGTGCGCCTCCCTGGTCTTTCTGTTCTTACAAGGACACCAGTCAGATTGCATTAGGGCCCCACCCTCATGACCTCATTGTAACATAACTACCGCCTTAAAGACCCCATCTCCAAATATACATAATCTGAGGTGCTGGGGTTAGGACTCCAACGTGCGAATTTTGGGGGAGCACCGTTCAGCCGTGACCGTAGGCCTCCCTATACCTGCTGTCAGCTGGGAGGCCGAGTGGTGAGCCCCGGACCTGGAGAGTCTTAATACTGGGATTCGCTCTGGAAGCCACCCCTGCTCCCATGCCAAGGATCCGGGGAGGGGGGGCGGGGTGGGGAAGAGGGGGCTTCTCTTTGCTCGGTCCTGGACCTGAACACCCGGTCAGTTCTTAATCCCGGGCCCCAGCAGCTGACCCCCGCCTGCTTCATTCCAGTCTGGGCCGTTTGTCCCGCACTCAGGATGAGAAACAGAGCCTCGGACGGGTGTATGGTTATTTCCCGCCAAATTGCCGAAGCTGGTTCACCATTTCTGGAGACAAGGTATGGCCGCTGCTCCCTCCCCAGGACAGGGGGCGCCACGGAGGGTTCTCTGAGTTGTACCATACTGACTCCTTGCATTTCACAGGCAATGGGGAAGCTGGGTACTTCCTTGTCAAGTGGTCACGTGATGGTGAATGGGACCCGGAAACAGGTGCTGCTGGTTGGAGCCCCAACGCACGGTAGGTCATTTGCCAGGAAACCTGGCTGCTTGTTTCTCACGTGGCTCCTTGACTGTGCCCTACTGGGGGAGAGTTGTGAAATCTGGAGCCAGACAGACCTGATTTTGAGGATTTCCTTTTCTCATTAATCACAAGCTGCACAAGCCCGGGGGAAGTTACTTAACCTCCCTGAATGTTAGCATCATCGTTTGCAAAACACAAATTATAACGTCCCTCTCAAAGATTTGTTGAAAATCCCCCATGAAAGTGAGCTAGTGTGTTTTTAAAGCTCCTGTCCCACTGTGCTTGGATGAGAGGAGAGTTCAGAAGATTCCGTAAATCCATTCACCAGGACTAGGTCTGCTCTGAGGACATTTGTTCATAAACCATTATTTTATTTACTTTATGGGGGAAGAGTTTTAAAAAGCCGACAAAAACGTATTCACTTCAAGACTGTCAAAGTGAATCATGTTTATTGTAGAAATTTGTGAAAATACAAAGATGTATATAAAAATCACCCTTATCCAGATACTTAACAATTTAAGCTCATACTATGTGTTGTGTGTATAATATATATGCATTTTCACACCTGATTTTTTATTCTATATCTTGTGTGTGTTCTCATGTTACTAAGATTCTTAAATGTGGTTTTCGATACCTATCACATTTTTTTTTTCCACGTGCTCATGCCAACATTTACTAACATCATCCCTATTCTGGAAATTTAGGATGTTTCCAATTTTTCACTGTTGTGAACAGGGTCTCATTGAACATCCATGTACAGAAAACCTTGCCTTTCTGAATAGTTTTAAAATCGGTTCCTGGAGGTGGAGTTTCTGGACTCGAGGGTCTAATAGTAAGGCTCTTAACTGCATACTGTCGAATTATTTTTCGGGAAGATTTTTGTTTCTTACGATATAACAAGCAGAGCGGATTGGGCAAAAGAATGGTGAGCTCTTTCATTGCATGATTCAGGACGCAGCATTGTCACACCAGGAACTTGCTGACTTAGCTTTGGAAAAGTTGTTCTTCCCCACTCCCCACCCCTCTTTACACAGTCAAGGTAGTGATTTCCAAACTCCGGCAACACATTAGTGATTTTACTTGCCCCACGTCTCTTTCTACTGGAATGCTGTCATTAGAGCTTTCCAAACTGTTTTAACGTTCCTACGGTCTTAGTAATTTCCTATTACAAAATACTGTATAAATTATAAAAAGGCTAATTTATATATCTTATTACATGTGTATTATATACAGTTTAACCTTTTTTGAGACCATTATACATTCACATGCAGTTGTGAGAAATAACATGGGGAGATCCACGTGACATTTTATCCAGTTTTTGCCAAGATAATACTTGTAAACCACAACAGTGTCACAACCAGGTTATCGACACGATGTAATCCACCAGTTGAATCTTGTTCAGATTTTCCTATTTTTTTAATGGTTTTATTATTTATTTTGCGAGAAAGCGCATGTGAGCGGGGGAGGGGCAGAGAGACAGAGACAGAGACAGAGAGAGAGCATCCCAAGCAGCCTCTGCACGGTCAACACAGAGCCCGACGCGGAGCTCGAACCCATGAACTGTGAGATCATGACCTGACCTGAAATCAAGAGTTGGTTGCTTAACTGACTGAGCTGTCCAGGCATCCCAGATTTACCTATTTTTTACTTATATTTTGCCTGTATTTCACCCACATTATTTGTGAGTCCTGGTACGGATGAAAATGTGGAGTCCTTTGTTACAAACTATTCAGAATTTTAGGCGGGTGACTGGAAAGCATCAAGCCAAGCCTGGGGCCCCGTGTGGTTGCCTGTGTGGCACATGCTGTATTTACGTCCTAAGAACTTGGCTCCTTTCGGTTGCTGTACAGCTTCTCAAACCTGGAATCAGATTAGACATGACCACCCTCATTTTTAATCCACACGGATTTTCTCATGGTACCTGCACTTTATTATAACCCCTAAAATCCCAGTTGGCAAAGATATGATGTCACTCAAAGGATCGTAGGGAACTAGTGTGAAAACCATGAACTGCCTCCAACAGGTAGTTCATGTGGACGGCAGACAGCGTCACTGTGTTCCCTTCCAAGGGTCAGCATATCTGCATCTCCCGGGGGCTCACGGGAGTGCTTCGGTGTAGATGGGAATCACGGCTCTGTGGTACAGGGTCACCTAACTTGGAACAACTGGATGTACTCACCAGATGCTGGTGGTCTGGAGCTTGACCCTGTCGGGCCTGTCCCCTTCACCCTGAGCTCTGTCTCTGGCTCAGCAGAATCTTTGGTTCAGAACGTGGCCACAACGAACGGCTTAAATATTCAGCGGGGACTTTAGGGTGTTGATGACCTATGAAGCGTTTTCAGTACTGAAAGGGGTTGAGAGGAGGTGGGCACTCATACAGTGCTGCTGAGATGTGAACTGATATAGCCCTTCTAGAAAGGTTTGGTTAAATGGCAAAAGCCTTAAAGATACTCATTCCCTTGGATGCTGTCTCTAAGAATCTGCTCTCAGAAAGTTATTTCAGAGCTGCAGGGAAAGATCTTTCTCACAGTGTTAATTATAATAGCAAAAAATTAGAAATGGCTTAAGTGGCTATAAAATTTTATAATCCATAACAATCTCCATTTTGTTTAACATGTCTATGGGTGTCAATCTCCAGAAAGAAACAGATGCATTGTACAACTTCACTATACTTTTTTGGGGGTGTTTTCCACACCTTTTGTAATGAATGATATGTAAAAAATCCTGGCATTCCCAAGTCTGACACTTCTAGTTTTGACTATTTCACGGTAGTCCGGAAAGTCAGCCACGTGAAGTAACATGATTCATAGTTTGAGTCGCAAGTGTTGAGCCACATGGCAAAGCGGTGTCTCCATTCCTGTGGCTCGTGCAGGGGTCCAGCTGCAGGGACACACCCATGTGTTACGACAGCTGTGTGTTCTGCTGTCACAGTAAGTGAACTTAGTCTTGAGAAGTGACTAAAACACTTGTGTGTTTAAAAAAACTTTCACCCCCGACCCTGATCTATCCCTTTTACAAAACCTGGTCTGCTGGATTACTTTTGTTATTCAAATAACAGATGCAGAAATACTGAAACATAACCTTGGGTTTGTTTTTTTCCCTCTTGCTTAAAATGTGTATTGTAAGCCACTGTTTAATTTGCATCAACCTGAAGATGAAGTATTTTAAAATTTATTTTATTGAAAAATATGTTTCAGGTGTATATAACGTACACATTATGACATGACCCTTGGAAGTTCTAGTTACCATCTATCAGAAATGAGGTATTTGGAATGGCCAAAAATTTAAAGTATCTGAATCCTTTATAGACTTTTTTAGAGCAGTTTTAGGTTTACAACAAAATCGAGTGGAAAGTACAGAGATTTCCCGTAACCCCCTCCTGCCCCCCCCCCCCACATGAACTGTGGGCCCTGCTGTCTTCTGCACCAGACTGTGCATCTGTTATACCTGATGGACCTACACGGACCCACCATTAGAACCCAGGTTATGGTTTATATTAAAATTCACTTTTTGTGCTGAATATTCCATGGGTTTGGACAAACGTAGGACCTGTATCCATTATAGTTTCACTGCCCTAGGAATCCTCTGTGCTCACCTCTTCATCCATCTTCCCTCCTGGCGAACCAGTGATCTTTCTACCTCTCCATGGCTTTGCCTTCTCTACAATGGCATACAGTTGGGATCCTAGTATGCAACCTTTTCGGATTGGCTTCTTTATGCATTATGCATATTCTGCATTAAGGTTCTCCCATGTCTTCATGGCTTGCTGATTTTTGAGTCCTTTTCAAATTCTGAGAATTGAAAGCAACACTGTGCTGAAATTGTGACTATGATAAAAAGCAAGAGTTTTGGGAGTGCTAATCACTGCTTCCCTTCCCCCAACCTTCTGCACTTGGAGCCATTTGAGAAGTGGACTCATGAATCATTCCTATCAAAATATGTGTCTTCTAAAAACTGGGTTGGAGAATGTGGTCTGGATGGGCAGCCACATTCAGGCTTTTCTGATCCTGGCCCACAAAGTGACCATGGGGTGACTTCTCCGAGAGAAAGTTTGGGTCTGCAGGCCATCACATCTGGCCTGCAGTACGAGCGGCAGAGGTGTGGACTCAGGAGTGCATCTAGAAGGCAGACCTGGCTGTGGTCTGTGTGCATCCCACGGGAAGCAAAACCAGCATGATATGCCCACTCTGCAGGCAGGCAGAGCCAGAGGGAGAAGCCACATTTGTCCCCCGCCCCTGCAGGCAGGCTCCTCCTCCTCCCTGTGGCCAGAGCTCCCAGCATTACTGTGTTCTGTGACCCCAGGGAGCTCAAGTCCCTTCAGGAAGCAGAAGGGCGTGAGAATGTCCTCTCATTTTGACGTTTCTTCATACTTTGGGCTTTCACCCTTAATATTAGTGGTTGTAGTTTATGGAAACACTGTCCTCTTGAGAACATTGTTCTGGGTCAGGTTGTACTTTTATGTTCAAGAACCCAGATTGCTGAGCCTTTCAAAGTGCTGGCTGTTTCCTTTTTGTCCTCGCTGTTATTCCCACCGCTATTCTTGGCTCTGCTTTGAGCTTTCAGTTGGTTCTACTTGACAGCTGGCTATGAACAGGGCATGAGGGAAGGCTGTCCAAGAAAATACAGTACAACCTTGGCTTGCAAGCATAATTCAATCCGGAAACACACTTGTAATCCAAAGCACTTGTACATCAAAGCGAATTTCAAGAACCAGTGGCTCAGCTGTGGTCATGTGACATTCAGGGTCATATATGACTCATTGTAAGACATCGCTCATTGATCAGGTTAAAGCTTATTAGCAATGGTTGCTAGTCTTTCAGAACACTCGCAGAACAAGTTACTTGCAATCCAAGGTTTTACTGTAGTCAGTTCTACACACAATACTAAGACACTGACACAAGATTGTACCTGTTCATGGACGCGTTGCCTGGGTCATCGTAAGCCTCCCAGGACCAGTAACCCCAACCGACAGATGCCATTGTTGTTTTTGAGAAGGTACTTATTTCTGAAATGAAGGTTGTGTTCCAGATGATCTATATAGGCGAAATTCTAGCTTTGTTTAAAAACCGTTCAATATTCACCCATTTAAAAACCATCCATCCCATACGTGCACTGAACCAAGCAGCGTGTTTCTAAGCACATTGTGGGACTAAGTCACGGTCCCATTGATTATGGAACTGACAGCCAGGGGCAGGAGAGGCCCGGTGAACAGAAGCGAGGCTCCCCTGCGAGGGGCACGGGAAGCAGCAGGCACAGCGTGTTGTGGCCGCACACGGGAGGGAAGGGAAGGCTTTGCAGCAGAGGCGAGAGCAGGGCCGTGTTCCAGAAGCGCAGGAGTCGGCCGGCAGAGGGGTGTGGGGGAAGGATGCCGGTTCCAGGCAGACAGCACATCATGTTCAGAGGCCCAGACTTAAGCAATAGAAGGGGCTGTGGTTTAAATCTGTGATGGGTGACGTATGGGTGAGAAGGGGGACGTGGCCCCCAAACACTAGAGCTGTAAGTAGCCAATTCTCTAAGGCCTCCTGAGCCCGCGGAAGGCCTCGTGAAGAATTTAGACTGTGTATCTCACAGGAAGTTTGTGATGTAAAAAAAGATGGTTGTATGGAGAATGTATTGCAGGGGCCAGACCGGTCTGATGGGACGTCACTGAGCCCACCCAGTGTTTGGTCTCCTCATGGCCACTGTTGGTCAGTGCTAACCTCCCCCCCCCCCCCCCCCCCGCAGTCCCGTGGGATTCTGAGCAGTTGTGTCACTCAAGGTACAGAAGACTGAAGTGAGAATAGGACTCCATTCAGCGCTTTACATTTTCTCTTCATTCCTGTGATGGCAGCAGACACCATGCCCTGGTTTGTTTCAGATGAGAAGTCTAAGATGGCATTCCTGACCATGACCTTGCACCAGGGTGGAACCGGTCGGATGTATGAACTGACGCTGGACACGCAGCCCCCTCTGCTCGGCACCTTCAGCGGAGACCGCCGCTTCTCCCGATTTGGTGGCATTCTGCACTTGAGTGACCTGGATGGCGACGGCTTAGGTAGGAGAGGAACAGGGCCTCTAGCCAAGAACTGGCTCCCCAGTCATCAGACCGGCCCCCGAACTGGGTCATCTAGGCTCTGCCCTTAGCATCGACAGCTCAGTGACCCAAGGCCTTTAGGTAGATTTTAGAGCTCGGTAAGACCAGAGCCAAGAGAAAGTTCTACTTCTTGAAGGTGGTAACATGAGAGCCATGCACGTCAGTTGTTGTCCAGGAATGACTGACTGGGGACCAGAGCCTTGACTATGCTGGGATGAAACCGGGTAGATGATTTAGGGGATGCGTTCATGGGACTTGCGGGGGGTTGGGTTAGGACCCAGTTCTGATTTCTGTCGTCTGCAGATGAAATCCTCGTGGCAGCCCCACTGCGGATAACAGACATCACGTCCGGGCTGCTGGGAGGGGAAGATGGCCGGGTGTACGTCTACAATGGCAAACAGACCACCTTTGGTGACATGACGGGCAGGTGCAAATCCTGGGCAGCTCCGTGTCCTGAGGAAAAGGTAACGTGGGCCCGTGTGGAATCCTAGGCTACGCTGGGAAAGGCGGCTACCTGCGGATGCCTTGTGACATTGTGTCCACTGTGCAACTCTGACGGTTTCTGAGCTGTCTGGCGGTCAGGGCACAATCACTTGCCTGTGTGGCATAGGCCCGAGTAGCCCTGCATTCTTCCACGTCTGCTTGCACTGTAGCTCAAGTCCAGTTGGACATAGTGTCCTGCTCGTTCCGGTCCCAGCCTGCCTTGCTTGGTTAGGGCCCACGGCAGCCCCCTGGGATTCCATCAAAACGCCCCCTCTTTTGTTTCCTGTTCATCCCTTTTCTCAGGTGGGTTTTTTTTTTTAAGTTGCCTGGGCCTAAAACACCATTTTTAAATTTAAACAACCTTATTTAATTGCAAAAGTACAGTTCATTGTAAAAATTTTAGAAAATACAAGTGGTACGAATCCTCTACCTAGATTTGCACTCTGCAGAGACGATGCCTTCTGTTAACCTTCTGAGGTGTATCCTTCCGGTATGCTTTTCTGTCGGCTTAATGGTTCCCATTTATTGTGCACTTACTCTGTACTTGGCACTGCGTTAACACTTGATAGATCTGTCTCCCTCACTGCTACTTCTTCAAGCCACCTCCAAGCTACTATGTGGGTACTGTGCCAGATGAAGACATTGAATGTCCATGAGGAAGGCGCACCAGGTCACGGTGCTAGGAGAGGGCAGGCCAGGGCCCTGCACCAGGAGCTGATTCTTTAGGACACTCTTACAGTGTGTGTGTGGATAGGGCTTATTAACAGCCGTGACATCTTGTCCACAATTTTGTAACTTGATCTGGTCTTCCCTGCCAACGTAGTTAACATTTCTCCATGCCTTGTATTCTCATACAGTGGACTTCCTGGCTGCCTGTTTTATCTGTGGACACACCATAGTTTATGTAGACGTTATTTGAGGGACTATTAGTCCCTCAGTCCATTTCATTTCACGGTTATAAATATCCATATATGAACATTTCTGTCCATCTGTCTTCTTGAGCTACACTCCTGTGAGTGGAATTTCTGGTGTCAAAGGGCATGCACGAGTTGAGGACTTCTCCAGAATGTAGATGTGAGTGTGGGGCTTCAGGATGAGTGGTTAAAACCTGAATCGACAGTAACACAAGTCTCCCTTCTCTCCCCTTCCTTTCAGGCTCAGTATGTACTGATTTCTCCTGAAGTAAGTACCTCCTGAAGGAATGAAGAAAGAGAAACCACAGAAGTGCGCCCTTTCCCTTATTTTAAACTGATAAGATATCACAGTATGTTTTCAAAAGACCATTAACAGACACTGCTTTACAGGCAAGTTCAAGGTTTGGGAGCTCCGTGATTACCGTGAGGTCGAAAAACAAGGTGGGTATGAAGACTGTCCTTTGGAGGTTTATATCCT